TTTTTTGCGGAACCGGGGATTGAACTCAGATCCTTGAGTTTGCCAGTCAAGAGCTTATCCTACTGAGCCATCTCCCCAGCCCCTGGTCCCCTTTTTTGTAGGGGGTTTCAGGCCCAGCTGTCTTTAAGCAGCCCCCAAACCTGTCCAGGGAGCACGCTTGAGGGGAGCAGGAATCCAAAAGCAGAGAGAGAGGGAAGGAGGACCTAATAGAGAGACCCTGCTCTCTGCCCTCAGGCCCCTGACCCAGGCAGGGTGTGGAAGGGAAGGGGCAGGATGGTGGCTAGGAGCCTTGACAGAAGCACCGGACAGGTAAACAACACCCACAGACTGGAGAGCCGGCCGCACAGCCTGAAGATTTCCATCTGCCCCGCTGCCGTGGTAAGGACGATCGGGGCTCCAAGGCCTTGCACACAAGCAGGGAAGGCTCTGCCCGAGGCCCTCCTCAGTGGTCCAGCTATGGCCAGCCCAAGGGTCAGACAGTGCCACGGGAAGGGTAAGCAAGAAGAGTGGCAGCAGGGGACAGTCCGTTCTGAGCAGGGGACAGTCTGTCTGAAGACCAACCTAGTGGAAGGCAGTAGGCAGCAGGAAGGGAGGCCTCATCCTAGGTGGGTGAAGTCCACAGAGAAAGTAATCAAAACCACAACGTGGAGCCAGGCTTGGTGGCACACACCTTTAACCGCAGCCCAGGAAAGTATCGAGAATGCAAGGTCAGCCTGTGCGGCATTGCAAGTTTTGAGGCTGGCCTAGGTACCTAGCGAGGCCCTGCCTGAAGGGGAAAAAAAGGAAAAGATAAAGAAAAAAAGAAGGGAGCAAGAAAAATGAAAGAAGAAAAGAAAACAGCACACAAGCCAGAAGGTAAAATGCAGTCCACAGTGAAGCACTTGCCTAGTGTAGCTGTGGCCCTGGGCTTGAACCTCCCCATCATAAAACAAACACCACGGATAGCAACTAGGCAAAAGGGCAAATGCCTTGCGCTAAGAACAAAGCTAAAGCAGCCAGGAAGGGTGGAACACACCTGAAATCCCAGCGTTCTGGGAGGCTGAGGCAGGAGGATCACAAGCTGAAGCCCAGCCCAGGCAACTCAGCATTTTTTTATTTTTATTTTTATTTTTTTGGCGGAATCAAGATTGAACTCAGGCCCTTAGCCCTTGCACTTGCCAGGCAAGCACTTATTCTACTGAGCCATCTCCCTGTCCCCGGGCAACTCAGCTTGACTCTGTCTCAAAAGAATTTTTAAAAGGCTGGGGATGTAGCTCAGTGAAAAGGCCCTGAGTTCATCTCCAGTACTACAAAAAAAAAAAAAAGCTAACTAGTAAGTGTTTTCAAAGAGAAAATGAACATTGGACTTATCACACAAGAAGTTTCCAGATTGATACACAGAGGCAGGCCAGGTGTGTACAAGGGTCAGGCAGGAGACAGCTTGAGTCAGAAAGAGGGAGGGTTACGTAAGAGGCTGCTGTCCCCATTATCACTGGAGCCAGGAGGCTCTTCTTGCCCACTTGTACCTACCATGAGCAGATCTTTGCCCTGAGATTCCAGATTGGGTACGATCTCCTCCAGACCTTTTCTGGCCCACTTGGGGAAGATTCCCTTATAATCAGGCAGCTGAGTGACTCCTGGGCAGATGTCTTCACTGGGTGTCCCCAGGGTTCCAAAGAGGCGAAAAAGCTGATCAATCTCAGAGTCACCCGGAAACAGGGCTTTGCAAGTCATCTGGGGCAGGGAAGAAGATGGGACACAGAATGAGCAGCCAGATCAGAGAGGATACCTTCAAAGGTATCTTCAAGATATCTTTCCTGGGACTGTGCAAAGAATTTTACATTTTTCCCCTTAGGTACTGAGGAATGAACCCAGGGCCTTTGCACTGTGCTACATTTCAACCCATTTTTATTTTTTAAAAAATTTTTTTTAATTTTTTATTTATTTGAGAGAGAGAGAGAGAGAGAGAGAGAGAGAGAGAGAGAGAGAGTGTGGTGTGTGTGTGTGGCCAGCTCAGCCCACCAGGGGGCGGGGCTGGCTGGCATGTGGTGCTGGGGGATTGAACCGTGGTCCCTGATGCTTTGCCAAGCTTGTTCTAAGTAGGTGCCTTAGACCACTGAGCCATCTCTCCAGCCCCTCAACCCATTTTTAAAAAATATTTTTAATTTGAGATAAGGTTTGGCTACATTGCTAAGTTGCCCAGATTGAGCTCAAACTTGGGGTCTACCTGCCTCAGCCTTTTAAGTTCTGGGGTGATAGCTGTGCACACTGGCATTTCTGTAATAAGGCTAGCTTCCCCAGCCCCAGATGCCCTTCATCCCTTCCCTAACAGAAGCCTTAGTGAGCTTCAACACCCCAGAAAGACCGTGCCAGCCTCCTGGGGACACGCCTGTCTGTCCCTTTGTCTACCATCTCTGCAAAGATGCAACCAATGCTCCAGATATCCACAGCTATTGAATAAAACTTGGTACCCAAGAGGATCTTGGGGGCATGATACCACAGTGTCACCACCTGTGGGGACAAGAAAGCAGCAGCTGCATTCAGGGTGGGAGAGTGAACAGGAACAGTCCTTTAGCTGTCCTTCTCTCCCCTCGGGACACAGCACACCTCATGGATGTAAGTGCCCAGAGGCACCCCAAAGGCTCAAGCCAGCCCAAAGTCAGCGGGCTTGATGGCTCCAAACTCATTGATGAGCAGATTCTGGGGCTTCAGGTCTTGGTGGATGACCTGGTGAGAATGGCAGAAGTTCACCCCCTGCAGGAGCTGGAAGGGGTAGCTCTGCAGAAATGAGCAGGAGGAGGGGGCTGAGCAGCAGGCGGCTGCCAGGGGTGCTCGGAGTCACATTGCCCTCCCTGTCTTCCCTCAAACTTTGACTAAGTGCAGTGGGAGCTCCGAGGCCAGGGTGGAGTCCATGTACTTTTTCAGGTCCTGGCTGAGGAACTCGAACACCAGGTACAGCTTCGTCTCACTATGCACTACATCCAGCAGCCTGATGAGGAGCCTCCAATTGGAAAGTAACTCCCTTGGTCCTGGCTGCTCCACCCTGCAGCTCACCTGACAATGTTGGGGTGTTTCAGTTCTTTGAGCAAGGAGATCTCCCTGATGGCAGTGCTGGGGACCCCCTCCATCTCCCTGCAGGAAAAGTCAGTAGAGCAATGGGCACAGACAGGCACCACTTCTGTTTTCCTCCTTCCCATATGGATGTCCTGGGTGCCAGGTGGGGACCTGCGTTCCTTGGCATATAATTCTCACCCATCATGCTCCACAGAGCAGGACCCCAGGCAAAGATTGCTTAGGGTACAGAGGTTGATTTATATACAGGGAAGGGCTGCAACTTTGTGGTCACTCCCATGCCTAGGCAGCACCTTGCAAGGTGGCTGAGTGTAAACCTAAGATGAGGAAGTGCATGGGGAGTTCAGACTGTGGTTCACCCTGGGGGTGAGAAGCATCTGCACTCACAAATCCAGCCTGATATTCTTGAGGGCCACAAGCTTCCCAGTGTCCTTGTTCTTGGCCTTATACACCACCCCATAGGTGCCTTCTCCAATTTTCTCTACTTTCTGGAACACATCCACGTTCGCAGAGCTGCCCAGGAAACAGATGGGGCCCTGGGCAGTCACGCCTCACACACAGCATCCTTGCTGCTCCATTCCAGGCTCCATATAACACCCTGCCCAGCCCCTACCCAGGCTGCCAGGCTCTCTGCCCCTCCTGCCTGCATCCCATCCTGCTGGAGAACCTGGCTCAAAGCCAGGGCTGCCCCTTGCCCAGCCCAGCCCTACCTGGCCCTAAGCCTCTTGCCCAGTGCTTGGCTATGGGGTGCAGGAGAGCCCAAGCTTATGCTAAGCTCTCACCTCAGCCCAGCTAAACTCCTGTTCTGGGGGCAGAAGACATCCCAGAAGGGCTGCCCAGTTAGGTGGACAGCACAGAGCAGAGGTCAGGGGTCAGAAAGGGCTTCTAAAACCACAGTTTTACCACAGACCTCACAGTCAAGGCCCAGGATCCAGCCTTGGCTCTGGCAACCCTCAGCCTCTTCTGAGGGCCAAACCTCAGCAGGACAGCCACCCTGAGTCCTTGGTCCCCCACCAAGCCCCTAGGTACCCAGCACCCTCCCCTCAGACTCCCAACCCAGGATTCACCACAAACACTGGGCCAGATCCAGCCTCTCTGACAGGGGGGCTGCCTGCCCTACAGCTCCCCCTTCTGGGCCCTGGCGGCACTGCACCACATGCACACAAGGTGGAGTCAGTCATAGGCCTTTATTCAGGAGGACCTTCTAGAACACTCCAAGACCTCCCAGAAGTACAGCCTCAGGGTTCTGGAGCTGAGGTGCCAGTAGCGGGGGATGGGAGGGGTGGGGGTATGTGACACCACCTCTTTAAGTTCTCATTTCAGATCCAACCCCAAATTAGAGGAAGGGGCTATATTAATCATCAGCCCCCTCTACTCTCTGGTTACAGACAAATGGTTGTCGTTCAGGGAAGAGGCCATATTCTGCAGCAGGTCAGCAGCTCTGGAGCTTCAGCCTCAGGGGCAGGAATGTGTGGGGGCGGGGGTTGGTGCTGCTGTTTCCTATTGGCTGCTATTCTCCCTCTCTTGCTGGTACAGCCTCTGCTTCAGGATGGCTTGTTCTAACTTGTACAGATTCATTCCCTCCACACAGGTCAGCACTCGGGCTTTCACCAGGGAGCCTCCATCTGAAAGACACAAACATCAGGCATCGGTGTGAGGTGGCAGACACCTGTGATCCTAGGAGGAGCACCATGAGTTCGAGAGGTCAGCCTGGGCTACATACCGAAATCCTGTCTCAAAAAAACAAAACAAAACAATGAAAGACACAAACACCACTATACTAGCCGTAACAAATCTATGGGAATGTCTGCAGCGCACTTTGTCCATACTTCTGGCGATTTCCCTGACATTTTCAGGCTTGAGTTTTAATAGCCAGCAGTAGAGGCAAGACGATGGTACATCATTGGCCATTTGTCTTCTTGGGCCTCAGAACTGTGACTCTGGACCTGCCACACACCACAGCACTTGTTTGGAACTTAGGGAGCAGCCTGAAAATTCCACTTCTCCAGGGAGGGGGCTTCAACTTCCTGTCTTTGCCACCTTCATTCTTTCGACCCCTCAGTCCCAAACGCCCAGGTTAAGGAGTCTCTTCACCAGCCTAGCTCTCCATTTGCTCCAAGGGAAGGACTTCCTTGGAGCTTGACATTGGAAACCAGGGCAAAGAGGAACCCTTATTGATTGGTTGATTGAGACACAGCTCACTATCTAGCTCAGGCTTCCCTTGAACTCACTATGTAGGCCAGGCTGGCCTTGAACTTACGGGAATCCTCCTGCCTTAGCCTTTGGAGAGCTGGGATTACAGGCATATGCCATCATACCTGGCTTTGATATTTAGAAATCCAAAGCAAATGAGCCCCAAGCAAATTTGGCTTTGTGAGGAAAGTCACCCCACACTTGATGAGGGGCTTGGTAGAGTCCTAGCAGATGGAATAATAACCTGACTTATAACAAGAACCGGGCTGGGGAGATGGCTCAGTGGAATAAGCACTTCCCTGGCAAGCACAAGGGCCTGAGTTCAATCCCTGGTTCCACCAAATAAATA